GGTTAAATGCTAAGACTTATGAACAACGAAAACTTATTGATAACATTATTTACTTACGTGACCTAATAAAAATACACACAAGAGGTATGCTATGTTGTTAATATGATTGCACGCCATTTTTCTCCAAACTAACTTTCAATCCGAGCGAAAATCACCTGCAAATGGTGCGAATCCGGGAAATCCAGATCCTTCTTAAATCAACTTCCTAGTTGGAGACGTTTTTAACACGTGACACTCTACATAGGCCTATACATATATCGTTTATATGTGTAACATAAATATAATAAAAGATATGCACTAATTCATTCTTGATTTAAACCGGTCGAGGATGACTAACAGGGAATAGATTACAACATAATGAAAAAAAAGAAAAATAATAATAATTTGAGAAGACCTAGGGATAAAACAAAAATAAGACTGAAAATTTATACTACAGGGGCGATGTCTGCCCACATACCAGACACTGATAAAGTGAATATAAAATGAAATAATGTACATTAAAATTCTAGGTATTTTCTTTGGCTCTGATAACCATGACCATAATTGGAATCCTATTCTCAATAAGATTCGTAACACACTCATCAAATGGAAACACAGTACATTGAAGTTCAGAACAACATTCTCAACACATACATTTTATCGCTAGTCTGGTACATCAACAGAATAGCCCAACCTGATAAACGTATTTTGAAAGAGCTGAATCGGGTTATCTAATCCTTCATCTGAGATGGAAAAAGCAAGTGGTAGCCCAAAACACCCTTCAACTGCCCCTCGACAAAGGATGACTTGGAGTTTGTGGCATGGATCTGAAGCTCCAGGCATTCGACCTCCGGCATGTTAAATTAGCCATACGGGGGAGCAATTACCCTTAGAAATCCCTTCTTTATTTCTGGATGGGTCCTACTCTTTGGGAGTTTGACATTGAACAATAACAGCTAATTACAGCAAGACCAAAATCAATTGGAAATAGGAAATTACGACGAAAATCATATGTAAAAACCTTTTGAAATAAATGAAATTTTATGTCCTTCTTTTCTGCAAGTAGAAACTAATGACTGGACTAATGAAGACGGACCAGCTTTAGAAGTCAAAAGAATATATTATTACAGTACAGAAGCAATACCCAAACATCAAATTCTCTTGCGTGTGCCAAAATTTATGGAATTCGAGCTTGAGTACCCCCGATTCACTCTGCCCTACCGACTCGACAACTACTTTCAACACGGAGTCGGTGTGGGTATTGCCATAGACATCCTGAAACGTTGGTACATCTTTTTATAGTGTGTGATAAACTATCATCGTTACGAACTAGCTTCTGCTACTTTATGGCAAGCTCCGTGAAGAGACCCATCCTGATTCGTAAGATTCGTGGTAGGGAACTTGGTAACGATATGTACCATTACTTTAACACCATCTGGACCAATCGCTCTGCACTAAAACCTGTCGGGTGATATAATTGAAACCTTGTTTTATCGATTGCTGGAGATATCAACTTTGCTAATATACCCATTTTCATTTCAGTCTACTGTGATATTCATACACCATCTATATTTTTAATACACACAATTCTTAAATATTTTTACATATTTATAATATTTCATAAAGTGAATAATTTTCATATACAGTTCATATATCTATATACATATCATATTTATTATTTCACATATTCAATGGAGATCATAGAAAATACACAAAGAAATCTGAGAGTATAAATACACTTCGATGGGAATGTTCCCAAAGAAGGTCTTTTTTGATGTAAGATACCCTTACGACTGTTACACATACCCCAATATAACATAATAATAATTTATATATTTTTTGTGGTGGGGAGTTTTGTCCTAGGTGATTGAGGCTTTTGTCCTTTGGTTCTTTTGTCCTGTTGCAAAATTGCAGACGAAATTGTCGTTTCTTATGGATGACTGGTTTAATTGGTCTTTGCATGAGTGATCTCATATCTAGTCATTTTTTTGGATTTACAAGAACCCCATTATGTCAGAAATGATAAAAACAGATGATATCAGTGTTGACAATATACAGAAAAAAATCTCTTTGGAACTTCTGTAATAAAATAAATTGTTCTGTTGTTAGCTATATCTAAAATCATTTTAGAGTTTCATAAACGGGAGGTGTTAAATCGTCATCTAAAGACGCATATGGACCTTGTTCTTCATTGTTTCTTTGATCTGGAACATTGACGTAATACGCTGCAGTTTCAACGCCACTGTTGCGGTTTGGGAGGTTGACATATGCTGCGGTCTCAGGATTCGAAGTTCCATTTGAGTGTGGTGTGTAGTTTACAGTTCCTTCTTTACTTTCCTTTTGTTTCGATCTTCTGAAAAAATAGTGATAATACAATTTACAAATGGATAATGTCGGCACCATGGTCCATTTACTTTACGTCTCATAGTTAAAATCGATAGTTTTTAATCATTGTTCATTACACTAGTTGGGTATAATCACCAGATAGATCATATCTCACATGCATCGACCAGTTTTTATTCACCGTTAAAAAGGTTTCCAAAAAGGGCCATAACAAATATAGATTTCACCAAGGCCTTCCGAGAATATGTCCGGTGTGGGTTCTCACCCCTAATACTATGTTATGTGAACAATCGTTAACTACGAAAATTCCGGAATGTTTATTCAAGACTCAAATCAACCCCCGGCAACTGTCCCTTTAAATGTAAATGTTACTATATAATAATTCTGTACCTTCTTTTCACTAAACAATAAATAGCAATTCCAATGACCATCGCTATAACAGTGACTAAGCAACTAATAATTGCTGCCACTGCTGGAGAAATACTATCATCTGTAGAATCTAAGAATGAAAGGTTGATTTGACATTAAATCCTTAAAAATGGGTTTCCTTATTTTTTACAGTCAAATTAAGCCAACTTTTTGATTTATTCTTGTTTCTAATGAATTATCATATATTCTAAAGACATATCATTATGTTCTTATTGCAATTGATAAAAGAGTTTAACCAATCATAAATGTCTATGTATGTACAGTCTGGATTAACAAAAAAAGACTTTTTGGTCTTTTTTGATCGGTCACTCATTGGAATTCTGCTGGTAATTCTCTTCTAATTTAGCTAATTATGAATTAATTACAGACATGTGAGACATACTCACAAGTCATTAGAACACTTCTATTTTCTATTAATAAGTATTAGCATTTTCATTTTCATAAATGAAAACAAGGGAACCCATCTTTAAAGTAAATATAATGCACATCGTGTATGAAGTCCAATAAATGGTATCATGAAATAAGACATGAAATAACCCCTTTAGATATGATCATAATTTTACTTACCGCCTTTTGTTTTGAAGGGTCCTATTGGTTGAGATACAGAGCAACCCCCTTCAGTGCATGACACAGCTAGAATTCTGAAATGAAATTATTAATAATTTACTTTAACACTATAAATTTTATGTGTTTTTATACGCCCACATGAATATGTGGTCGTATATTGTCGTCGCCCCTGTCCATCGGTCCATCGGTCCGTCCGACGGACGTCCGTCCGTCCGTCGGTCCGTCCGTCAACATTTCTTGTGAGCACTATAAAGACTACAGTTTTCATCTGATTTTGATAAAACTTGGTGTGATGCTTTAGATTGATAAGATCTCGATCAAGTTCGAATTTGACATATTTTCGATGAACGGTTTTTGACATATTGCCCTTGACTTAGAACGCCCTGAAATTTGTTAAAAATTGTTCGTGAGCAGGATTGAAGCTACAGTTTTCATCCGATTCTAATGAAACTTGGTGTGATCATTGGAATTGATAGAATCTCGGAAAAGTTCTAACTTGACGCATTTTCGATGAACGGTTTTTGAGTTATTGTCCTTGACGTTGTTAAAACGCGTCGAAATTTGATAAAAATAGTTCGTGAGCAGGATTGAAGCTACAGTTATCATCCGATTCTAATGAAACTTGGTGTGATCATTGGAATTGATAGGATCTCGGACAAGTTCTAACTTGACGCATTTTCGATGAACGGTTTTTGAGTTATTGCCCTTGACTTTGTTAAAACGTGTTGAAATTAGTTAAAAATAGTTCGTGAGCAGGATTGACGCTACAGTTTTCAACCGATTCTGATGAAACTCGGTGTGATTATTGGAAGTGATAAGATCTCGGACAGGTTCTAACTTGACGCATTTTCGATGAACGGTTTTTGAGTTATTGCCCTTGACTTTGTAAAAACACGTCAAAATTTGTTAAAAATAGTTTGTGAGCAGGATTGAAGCTAAAGTTTTCAACCGATTCTGATGAAACTTGGTGTGATTATTCGAATTGATAAGATCTCGCACAAGTTCTAATTTGACGCATTTTCGAAGAACGGTTTTTGAGTTATTGCCCTTGACTTTGTAAAAACGCGTCAAAATTTGTTCGTGAGCAGAATAGAAGCTACAGTTTTCAACCGATTCTGATGAAACTTGGTGTGATCATTGAAATTTATAAGATCTCAGACAAGTTCTAACTTGACGCATTTTCGATGAAATGTTTGTGAGTTATTGCCATTAACTTACGAAAAACGTGTCAAAATTTGTTTGTGAGCGCAATAGAAGCCACAGATTTCAACCGATTTTGATGAAACTTTGTGTGATCATTGGAATTGATAAGATCTGGGACAAGTTCTAACAAGAGATATTTTTGATGAACATTTTTTTGAGTTATTGCCGTTGACTTTGTAACCACACGTCAAACGTTGCCCTTGATTAGAGCTGTGTGATTTAATTGTTTGTTGTATTTGGGTTATTGATATTGATTTTAAAAAAATTTGTGGAATTATTCAGCATCAATAATTTCTTCAATATGAGAAAATTCGTACTTTAGTCACTAAAGACTGTTTTATTATTTCTGACAGCTGCCAGTGGGCTTATGTTACCTTGCAACGCAAGCTATCTTTATACATCTACATGAAATGGGGCGTATATATTGGAATCAACCATGTCTGTCGGTCCGTCCACAACCACAATTGCTCATAAACACTCTAGAGAACTTACAATTCTTGCTTGATTTTGACAAAACTTGTGTGAGTCAACAAATGCTTAATATGAGTTATTGCCTTTGTTCTTGAAAATGCATTCAATTTCTAGCTCATAAAAAAATACTCAATTCTTGACGGATTTTGACAAAAATTGGTATGAGTGTAATCACCAAAGGATGAACGCCATCGAAAAACAGAAAAATCAAAAAATATTTACTATTAGTTATTACCCTTGTTCTTGAAAACAATTTTTTAGAAGGAAAAATGCTTGCTGGACTTGACAAAAACCTGGTAATTATCACCCCAAAAAGTTCAATAGAAGTGTATGGCTGAAGGTTGAATATTTCATACTGGTGATTGTTACTGTACTGCCAAATATTTTTCATTTTAAAATCAAAGCTGCCAGTGGCCGTATATAACATTGCCTGGCAAGCTATCTTTAAATGGAGATTTTGAAGATCCGTGCATCAAAATGATCTTTGAGCACACTATTTAAAAGTGATCTTTTCCAGAATTGAAGTTGAATGGACAAAGAGGTCAATCATTATACAGTTGTAACATTCTGATTAATGAAAACTCTCCATGGCTTGAATTGGGTACAAGTAGAAATTTGAGATTGCTAAGAAAATTTGTGTAAAATTTATCAAAACACTTTTAACAATAAATTTCATGTTTCCCATTTAAAGGGATTGTAAAGAGGTTTTCTGAAAAAAAATTACATGTATCAGGGACATTGATAGCATCAATTTGCACCATTCCAATTTGCAGTCCTAATGACGTTTGTGTTTCTTACAATTTCCGAAAAAATAGTTTTTGATGATGTCACTAATCGCAAAAAATGCATAACAACATAAGGCCCTATTATTTTTAGTGAATTACAGGAACCAAAGATGAAATGGTGCAAATTGATGCTGTCAATTTTCCTGAAATTAGAAAACCTATTATCAGAGGGTTATACAGAATTAATCCTGAATTGATAATGGAATAAATCGGTATAAGATATCCAGTAGTTTGATATATCAAAATAGAACCTAAAATATTTACAAATCAAAATATATGTACTAAAATCCAACTTACTGATATTCTGTATCCATCTTCAATGGTCCATTACAAAAATATTCTTTAGACTGTTTGTCACAATCACTTTCAGTACCAACAACAAATTTTAATTTATCTACGTCATCTGAACCCAAATTTTAAATAAATAGAAAGATAAAAAATAGAGTCAATGATACAGTGATGTACATGTAGCAACCAGTACAAATAATGAAATCAAAATCTTCCTGTGGTTCTCTGTTGTAACCAAAAAATTGCTTATCAAAGTTTAGCCATAAAAGTATACTGTAGTTACATATGCACCTATTTACTTTTAAAAAGATGAGTTTTCCTTTCCACAAAAAGAACATGTAATACATTATGATGTATAATAGATTAATCATTACCTTTATCACCATACCAGGTATCATTTGTTACTCTATATGGTACATCAAATGATTGAGCACTGACTTTCTGCCAATTAGCGTAACTTCTTACCTTTGCTACAGTTAGCTGATTATCTATAGTTAAATAAATACGATCATATAGTATTAACAAGGTGAAGTGACATTAAAGAAACAAATGGGAGACCAAAAGACATTATCATGTGGAAAATATAATTCATGAAAGTAAGTGAATTATCTCAGCATCAAAAATTTATGCAGTCACACACAAATGAAATATAAAATTATTTAAAGGAACGACCATTTTTTACCAATCGTACCTTGGTCTCAGAAACAAGAATATTTTAGCTAAGCCAATCAGTAATAGTTCATCCACAAAGTTTGAGTCTTCTAATCCAAGTGTGTTCAGAATTATCCGCGTTTGAAAGTTAAAAAGATGAGTCATCTTTTCTGTAGACCCAGCCATATTATATAGAAAAGACATCTATAGAAATAGGAAAAGAAATTCCTAGTTTGAGATATTTTTGAAGGAATTTTGCGATTTTGGTACATTTCTAGTACTTCTGAAGACTGTTTACATATTTTCAAGACTCAAAACAACCCCCCAAAATGGCGCCCTGTCCCTTTTACTATTATTCCTTTAACATTAACCATTAATTTATTTCTATATACACGAGTCAGCTAATGAAATTGTCCTGATCTTATTTTCTTCATTGCGTGGCATTGTCTATATGTGTTATTAAAAATATAGTGCATAATTTCATTAATTCATTTCATTTTACAAGAATTCAGTATAAACTCATACCATTGATATCACAATTGCCTTTAACACAGACTAATAATGCTGTTATCTTTACAGGACCATTAGTTTCATCTCTTAAACAATTAGGACAAACTGTTACAGAGAATGATGTCTGTTCAATGACTTCAGAGTTTGGTATCAAAATTATTTCTTCCTTTGGTAGTTTTGGTTCTAAAAATATACAATACATGAAATAAAATTTTTTGGTTCCAATATTTCATAGGTAGAATAGATTAGTTGGTCTAAAATTACATAACGCATGTAATAGATTGGTTTGTTTCAAAAATACATACCGGGTGTACAGGTTGTTTGTTACTGGTGTGACTTGTAATTTTGATAATAAAACATGACATGATATAGCATACTTTTTCCTATTACAGTATACTCCGTGTAATCCAACATACAATGGGGCCGTAAAACAATGTCATATTGGCGAGTGTGTCGGTGTATTCAAATTTCCGCGATTTTTTAACATGTGCTACATGTTACTATAAATACCTCAGTGACCACAATAAGATTCTACAGTACCCTTCAGTACAGTCAGACATTGTAATAATAATAGCTTGATAATTTAAATATAACGCAAAACAAAGAATGGTAAAATTCTACGTTTCTGTAGTAACGGTGTAATGAATGACAAAAGTACCTGTAATAATGATCCAATCCATTTGATCTAAAGGCAATGACCTTGATCATGAAGTGGGGTCATTGGTGCTGATTAATAAGCAGTATTGATATCAGCTATCGTTCGTTTTCATGTGATTTTATGTTGGATTATCAATAATATAAGAAATTATCTAATTGGCAATAAGTGATTAAGATAAGAATATGTCAGATTATACAGATGTTTCTAAGTGTCGGGACCACTGATTAGTGTCGTAATTTTTAATACACAGAATGTCGGAGCTCTCACAGTTTTTTAAACTGACATAAGGTGGAAATCAATAGGGACTAAAAAAAGATATCGGATTACCGGTTTGCATAATGTCGGAATAAATACTTTTAAATGAGTGGAAGATATTCAGATTGTTCAAATACAGAATGAATATAAAATAACCTACTTCCTGTTGGTGCTGGATATTTTATAACTGTCTCTTCTCCCTTAAAGTCCATATTAGTAGCAAACTGAAAAAGATAAAACAAGAATGTTTGACTTAATTGGAAGGAATAGTAACAAAAATAGTTATCGCATGGTAAAGTTAGGTTACTAGAAAGAATTGGTTCAGTTTTTGAACTTCTGCAGTTGGCAATTACTTTCATTGATTCTAGTTCTCAGGTCTTCAGAACATGTATAATTACAGGGATCAAACACAAACATTTTGGTCTTACTATGTCCTGGGCAAGGAAAATGAAAAGTGCCCATTTGGTGCAAATTTGTTTTTGTTATAAGATGTCGACTTGATCAACTGACTTGAGAATATCTGGGATATACGCATACAACTACTCACAACTGTAAATGTAATATCCTCTCCTGGCTTCACTCCGACGATTTCAGTAAATGTACAACTTTCCTTAGGTTGAATATCTCTAGGATCTTCATTCTTAAATTTAAATCGAACATGATAGTCAAAAAACTATATTATCTTATGTAAAAAAATTTGCGAAACAGTAAGAATTTATTATATGTGGAAAAGTTGGGAATTCAATCAATCAAGGATCCTGAAAAGGTTGAAAACCCCATGCCTTAAAGGGATTGATGAGGCATTAGGCATTTGGCATTTCGGGGGGAGGGGGTGAACAATTATGGATACACTTACACGGTAAGCTGTGAACATTATTACTGATTAGTTAAGCACAACAATTCACATTCCCGAGACCAAGGTATGAATTATTTCTGGAAATGCCACACTGTCTCTTTACACGATGCATTCTAGAGCTTCAAAGACATTTTTAAAAAATCTTTAATGACCACATTTCAAACTCATTAACTACTGTAATAACGATTCGCTTGGCAGGGAAAATAGATAAATTTGTATTATCAGAAATATTATCCATAATTATATTTTTACCACTAGAGTAGAAGTCAATGTGTAGTTCATAATAACTCCATGTCGATTTCTTTCTTTAACACAACTCCAGCTGACTTCTGCTGATGTAAATATTTCACTTTTATGGCGTACTGTTAGACTTTCAACTTTTCCTGGAGCTGAAGATGAAATAAATAAAGCTTTATTATAAAAGACATTAAATGTATTAAATAAGCTATCTGTCTGTTGTAGGTGAAGAAAATATTGTTTTTATTTTTAAGGTTATTAGATGAGATTAATCTAAAGATTGTTGGTAACATAAAAAAAAGGATGATTCTAGGAAATACAGTAAGACCAGTTTGGTCAACAAATAAATCAGGGGCAAGAATTTTCATTTAACCCTGTTATAAACAATTGCAAGTTTATGGCATGAGAAAGTTTTTATGAGAATAACTTCAAACAATTCTTTTGTATAAATATCAATTTAATTCATTCTGTAATAGTAATCATTTTAACATACGTGATGATGATGTTTGAAACTCTGAACTATTTTTAATTGAACTATTTCCAACAGCAGTAGATGCCTGTAATTCCACTCTATAATACCAGTAGCTTACTACATCATTAACTTGATATTCT